AATTCCTTTAAGTTTCAGCTTTGCAACCATACTCCCCCCGGAACCCAAAGACTCGTGGTTTCCCGCAACGCTGCCCGGCGGGTCTTTGTCGTAACGCCACCGGATCGCGGGTCAGCACGGTTTACGGTCAGAACTACGACGGTATCTGATCATCTTCGAACCTCCGACTTTCGTTCTTGATTAATGAAAACATTCTTGGCACATGCTTTCGCTTTCGCCCGTCTTGCGCCGGTCCAAGAATTTTACCTCTAGCGAGCTTTTTAACTGCAGCAACTTTAATATACGCTATTGGAGCTGGAATTACCGCGGCTGCTGGCACCAGACTTGCCCTCCAATGGGTCCTCGCCCATGGGTTTAGGATGCGCTCATTCCGGTCACGGCGACTCGAAAGAGACCCGTGCCGTTATTTTTCGTCACTACCTCACCGTGTCGGTAATGGGTAATTTGCGCGCCTGCTGCCTTCCTTGGATGTGGTAGCCGTTTCTCAGGCTCCCTCTCCGGAATCGAACCCTGATTCCCCGTTACCCGTGGTCACCATGGTAGGCACATATACTGCCATCGAAAGTTGATAGGGCAGACGTTTGAATGAGACATCGCCGCCTCAGAGGGCGCGCGATTGGCCCGAGGTTATCTAGAGTCACCATCAATGGGTTATGGGTCTGTTAAATGCACGCGTTCTGCTTTCCTCCCCCCCTCACGAAGAGAGAGCACGGTCGGCGCTTGTTTGCATGTATTAGCTCTGGAATTACCACAGTTATCTGAGTAACCGTGTGGAGCGATCAAAGGAACCATAACTGATTTAATGAGCCATTCGCAGTTTCACTGTAACGCCCGTGTGTACTTAGACCTGCATGGCTTAATCTTTGAGACAAGCATATGTTACTGGCAGGATCAACCAGGTAGCGAGCAACCTCTGTTGGGGTGGGAGCCGGCCAGAGAGGCCAGGCCAGCCGCCCCGGTGAACTCAACGGCTGTGACATACACATGCCGGCTTTTATGAGAACATGATGGGGGGTTCGAGGCCATCCTGCAACGGGGGCAGAAGTGTTGAGCCGAGGAGACTGGTTGGACGAAGTGTCTGAAAATTGCACTAAGTCCATAACAGTACTTGGACCCCGAGCAAAACTCGCGTCGCCACTGCTTCTCAGAATCCCGATGGCACCCCTCTGGATTTTCCATGCGCATCAGACCCTCCAGACCGCGGCCGGGTTTGAATCTGACCGGAAACGGTGCACCTTGGGCGGATACGCAAGTAGGACGAAGACCCTGGTTGCGCCACCTAGGCGAATTTTGTGGACACTGCCTCGAAAATTTCACCCTGTCACTGGGAGACCATGAAAACTTTGTCCCCCAAAATGAAAAACCCTGGGGGACCGTGAAAACTTTGCACCCCAAAATGAAAAACCCTGGGAGACCGTAAAAACTTTTAACGCTGAAAACAGCCGGCCACTGGGAGACCTATGGACTTGGACGAATTTTCGGCCCGTTTTTTTTACCACTTGGAACTTCCGTGGGCCTTGGACCCTCCGAGGGGGTTTTTCCAAGTTCCGCGGCCCACAGAGTGCCCTATTTTCGGCCTGGTACGGTGGGTCATGCACCCTGGAGGTGCCACCTAGGCGAATTTTATGGACTTTGTCGTTTTTAGCCGGGGAACTTTCAAACTTTACCGGGGCCCTCCCAAACATACCACCGCCACCAAACTTCACCGGCCTGCTCTCCTCCTCCACCCGCTTCCAATGACCCATCGACCGGCACCCCAGTCCGCTCCCTTCCGGAGATGCCCAATACCCACCCTTCCGTATGCCCACAAAAGACAGGCCCCTTTTTTCCCCCTACCAACCTCCATTAACCTGCCCTGCGATGGACTGGCGACCTGTCCAGGGTGTATCCTGCCTTCCGCCCAATGACAGCTAGGATAGGCTCCAGCACCCCCCGCGACCCAGAAGGATAAGCGGTTTAGATGATGGATGGATGGATGGATGGACAGACCTCCCTTAACTCCCTTCCCCGGGCTTTTTCGGATTCCCCGCTCCAACCCATCCGGGGCTAAGGGCCTCCAGGAACCCAGCGCACCATCCGAATCCTTATGGCCCACACTTAAGCACCCCCCCCCCGCATTAAACCCCTTAATACCGCCGCTACAGAGAACCGACGGCCACTGGGAGACCAGAAAAACTTTAGCGCTGAAACTCATGCCCGCTGGGAAATCATAAAAACTTTGCCGATTTTTCTAACTTTTTCTCCGGCCACTGGGAGACCAGAAAAACTTTGTTGATTTTTTTTTGTTTTTGTTTTTTCTCCGGCCACTGGGACACCATAAAAACTTCAAAGTTTTTTGGCGACCACTGGTAGACCGGAAAAACTTTAGCTTCGCGGGTGGGACAATTCGTCGCTTATTAAGGTCAGGGTTAGGATTAGGGACTGCTTCACTAATGTAAGAAGCATATCAACAGAACATCTACAAGATATTTACTTCAATGTATTCAGATGCTTCACTACTGCTACTTCACTGATATGTTGTTGATATTCTGTTGATATGTTACTTACATTAAGACTAAGCAAAAAGATATCTGCAGTTGATCTGCAAAACACATTGATTCAGAACAGATTAAAGACTCCTGCAGTGAAAGTCCTTCTGTCATACTAGTTACTTTTAATTACAGAAGACACTAAAATATGGCTGGGCTAACAGTGGACTAACAGGAAACACTCATCTGAAATAACAGTGGCAGTGAATGTGAGCACTTCCTAATAATCCCATGAAAATAAAAGTTCTAAAAGTCTCAAGCACTCACAATAACTTGAAGTTTGACTAAGTAGGAGTGCTATGTTGTTAGAGAGGAAGTCATTGTTACAGTGAAAACAGTTTTCCTGCAGTAGGATGTTTACCCAGAGTGTATTCTCGGTAGGACATCACAACCTGACAAACTAAGGGTTAATATAGCATTGTTGGTATAAAAGTCACCCATCAATGTGAGAAAGACAAGAGAACACACAAATAAAATGAGACAAAAGGTTGATCTTGACCTGTTTATAAAAAATACCTGAGATAAACGAAAGTTCATGTAGAAAAAACCTAATCCCCCTTGTGAAGTATGAATGAAATGAATGAATGTTTTAGCCAACTGTGTCTGAACACATCAGAATTAGACCACCGTATTTAACCCATCCGTGCAGTGAAACACCACATACACACTAGTGAACAAACACACACACACACACACACACAGAGCGCAGTAGGCAGCCCTATCCACGGCACCCAGGGAGCAGTTGGGGGTTAGGTGCCCTGCTCAAGGGCACTTCAGTCACGTACTGTCAGCTGAGGGGATCGAACTGGCAACCTTCTAGTCACAAGGCTGGTTCCCTAACCTCCAGCCCACGACTGCCCTATATAGCGCCCGTATGGTGCCCATATGGTGGTGTATGTTACGTGGCTAGACATCTGATTAGTATCCATACAGGAGATTTCACATTAAAATCCGGCTGGAATATGCTGAGACAGTGGATGATATGTATATTATACATAAAGATGTAACTGACAATTTTTGTTTAATCAGAACAAGATTGTACAAACAACAGTAATTTTCTCTTCTTCTACATGACAGAATATATCACTTTGATTCAATAGACTACAAGTGCTAAATGATTCATATTATAATAATGCATACAATGCTTTTGTTGTCACTGACAGTCACTGTGACTTCTGAGAGCAGTTGAACTTCATCTTGAATTGAAGTCACAAAACAAATAAGAGGGAATTATAGCATCCTGACCAGCCATGGAATCACAGGAATTGTCTGAGGCACTGACAGAAGTTACTGTTGGGTTTCCAGCCTCATTATCTACAAAACAAGGAAAACAAGAAGTAATTTTTACACTGTCCAGTAATATGATCTTGATGCACATTAAACTGAAACGTTCACCCATATCTGAAGCTTTTTAGTCATCACAATGGAGGCATAACTGATCAAACAACAATGAAAGCCATAAAAAATAAACCTCAAAAATAGTTTGTGTTTGTTGCTTGACTTTTTGAATGAATTGCAGTCGAGAATAAAGTAACCCAACTGAGGGAAGACACATGCGTTAGTTTTTCATCAAGGTTTAAAAAAAAACACAAACAGGAAAAGCAGAAAATTGTAGTTTTCTATTCTCAGCCTCTATCAGCTTTACTCAAGGTGTCATTGTAGTCAGGACCTGATCGCATACTCATGCCTTAGTTTAAGCTGTTGTCTAGTGCTGTATTTGAAATACTATATGTCTAATTGCAAATAATAAATATTGAACATGCAAGCTTAAAGCCCCAGGAAATCTAAATCCGTTTTCTTCTTAAGTTAAGAATGGTTAAACTTGCTCTTATAGACACACTATATACATGTACAAAGTGTGTCCTGTAAATAACTTTCCAATGCCCACTAAATGGCAGATGGATTTTGCCAAAATTCTCCTTTTTCGATGTATAAGGCTGATTTAAAAGCCCACAGAGATTTAAAAACTATGTTCCTCCTCGGTCTCCCCCTGTTCTTGTGCGGATAGTTGTCTGATAAGCAAATTTTATAATATATATTTCTTTCTTTTTTAACTTTGATTAATGTTTAATTAAAGACTGAATTTTTGTATCAAACAATTTTAATATTTTACACTGTGTTCCCTGGGACTTTAAGTTATGGCCTGGGCTTAGATGATGACATACTGGAAAAGGAGCTAGCTTGTATAGTTGTGCTTTAACCTGCTCGGGGCCCTGGGTCCCTTTAGTAATGGCAATCACAGAAAACAAATCAAATTTCACTCTCTTAAAATGTCGGCTTAATAAATTTTATTTGTTAAGGCTGTTATCAGTCTGGGTAGGGGGAATGTATAAATACAAAAAAAGGCTCTGAATCAGTTGGTCCCCTGGGCTTCAGCCCAAATAAGCCCATCACCCCTGAGCTTGTACCTTAGTGTACTTACATGTGGTATTTTCATGCCAAATAAAGAAGATTTAAGCTTGGTGCATTGTTGTTTGAAAGGATGCACCCAGTTGTACCTTACACTACAGTAAATTCCTTCAGCTAACTTAATTTAAATTGTTTTTTGTCTTAAAAAAATGATTTTGACAAAAATGGCTGTTTTTCTAAAATAATGACTTTAAAAGTTCTGACTTTTATTGTATTAACACTGCTCAAAGGCTTGGTATATTAGCTCCACTGTATAGTGCAGCAGTAGGTTTTGCTACTTGCTTACTCAAATGTATTGAAACTTCATGAATAGCAATAGTCATATTTTATTGCACATACACGTTTCAGTGGACAAGGAGTCAGTTATGGCTATATATGGCGATATGGCTAAGGAGATGACGCAGTATCACATTAAAGGTGTGCTAATGATCGAGTTATCAGGTGGCATACTGGATAACGCAATTAATCAGCATACAGAAGATCAATGTTTGCCTCTCTGTCTAGGCAGGAACACCACTGTTACTATAGAGTCCTTGGGCAAGACTCCTAACAATACATCCACTTATCAATTAAAACCACTCTGTCTAAGAGGGGCAGTTGAATGCATAAAATGTAATAGCTTGGTGATTAAAGATGGAGTAGTTAGAGGTTTTTCAATAATAATATCAACAATGACTTTGAGACTAAATAAAACCTGAATAAAATTCAAGAAAATGTCTCTCACTGACCTTTTAAGTCTTTCAATTTCTTCCTAGCATTCCGATCTGAAGCAAATCTCAGCCAGTTCTTGATTTCCTTTTCAGCTTCAGCATCATTTACTCCACGGTATAGTGCAGCACCTGAAAGAGAGGGCACAAGAATTCCAATTGATTTGTAGTGCTCTTACAGACTGATTGACAGAGTGACTTACAGTTTACTTTTTAATAAAGGTAGTGTTAGGAGTCTTGCCCAAGGACTCTTAATGGTATAGTGTAGGGTGCTTACCCCAGCAGAGGATTGAACCCCAGTCTGGGGCATGGGAGGCAGTGGTGTTAACGCTTACACTATACTATAACTGGTACACACAAATGCCTTTTTCCCAGGGCTTCCCAGCTGAACATTCTCCAGAATATCACACTCCCTCCACCAGCTTGTCTTCTTCCCATAGTGTATCCTGGTGCCATCACTTCCCCAGGAAAGCACTGTACATGTACCCGACTGTCCATGTGATGTTAAAGAAAAGGGGACTTTTTGGACCAAGCGATCTTCTTCCATCACTCCAAGGTCCAGTTCCATGTGCTCATTGTAGGAGGTGGACAGGGGTTAGCATGGACATTCTGACCAGTCAGTGGCTACGCAGCCCTATATGCAGCAGGGCACGATGCAGTGTGTTGTATCACATTTGTCTTACAGCCATCTTTAAAAATTTCTGTGACTTGTGCCACAGTAGCCCTACTGTCAGCTCAAATCAGACAGGACAGCCTTCATCATCCTTGTGCATGATGTGACCATAATGATTTACCCCTTTTTAAGGCACTTAGGTCTTCATGCCTGCCCATTGCTCCCACATGCAACATATGATCTACAATAACCAATTGTTTGCTAACCGTCTAATATATCCCAGACCTTGACACTGTTACAAGATAATCAGCATTATTCACTTCAGTGTGAGTGGCCATAATGTTTGGCTCATCTGTGTACATTTATCAAACATAAAAGTACAGGTGTATGATAATTCAAGAAATAATAAATGTACCTTTGATGACTCTGATTAATTCGAGACCACTTATGGCTTTTTTATTTTGCCTTCCTTGCCAGTTGAATGACTCAGCAAGATCATCAGTCATAACTGAATCCAACATCCTTCTCACAATCTGCTTCTGACCAAAGCCTCCGAGTCTTGACAAGTAATCTATCTGTAAAAAAAGTAATAAAAAATACAAAGTTTCCATTCACTATAATATCTTGATTTTGCCATTGATTTGATGCCATTGTTTTGTATTATTTTATTAAGTTGTCCAAGGGAATTGCTTAAGTCTTCCAAATGACAGAAGTCATTCGAATTAAACTGCTTTGCTGTTGGCCAGAAAATTAAGCAATCTTTCAAATATAATGTGGATGGAAAGAGGTCAGACATCATGCTAAACTCATGGTGTAGCTCTAAATCAGAGCAGAGCTCACTTGCATATATCAGTCTTAAAGGCAGAGTAACAAAAACAGCTGATTAATTATTTGAAATAATGAAAGTTTTTTCCATTGCAGCTTTTACTTACATAAGTTTGCCTAGTCTTCTTGTCTTTGAGCTTATTTTCAATTACGTTAAGTTCTTCAAGGCTATTAAGTGGCAGTTTGGCCTGGAATGTTTCTGACAGCGTGCTCGTGCTGCTAGGTAGTCCAGCTTGGTCAGATCTGCTCAGTAATTCTTTCAACATGATGGAATTTTCTTGGACTTTGTTGTTGATTTCCCTCAGCAATTTGAAGAGTTTTTGATTCTCTGTTGAGCAAACATACATTTTAGTTTGTTTTTGAAATGCTGAACATGAACACAGAAGGCATGGAATGTGTTTACCATTTGAACATTTGAAACTGCTTACCATTTGAGCTGGAGCCAGGGGGTCTTGGTGCAGCTGGACGTTTGGTCCCAGCTGTCAGAGTTGGCTGGGATGGTGCTGCTGGCATTAGGAAAGGATCTGAACTCTTCTCTGCTTGTAGTTTCCTTCTTTTTAGAGGTGCTGCTCCAAACGGTAACCTTTTTCATAAATAGACTGTCATTATTGTTGCACCAAAAATTAAGATAAAAAAACAATAAAACATCTTTTAAATTGTCAAAGTTAATCTTAATGTAAATTGCAGAACCGTGAGATGATATAAGGTGCATTTCATCTCTGATTCACTGTCGGTATGACTTTCTTGAAACACTGCAAGCAAACACCTGTATGTTTTTTTGTTTGTTTTTGTTTTGTTTTGTTGAGTTTCTTTCCACAGTGCTCTATATCCATTTGTAACAATTTTGGAATTAAAGATTTTTTGAATAGACTAACAGCTGTCATATAATGGAAAAGACATTTTCATTTCTTTAATAAATAAATTAATCAAAATATAGCGCTGATATTTGTTGGCCCACTTCAAACAGTGTATATTATAAAAAAAAGAAAATTCTTGAAAGTGGTAAATAATGCATTTTGCAACAAAACCCTTCATATGTATGTGTTGGGTTCTGTGACATCATAAAAACAATGAATTCATTTGCAGTTTAGTTTCCATATGTTGACTGTATGGTATATTTTGAAACTTCGACAATGTTTACATATTACATCAAATTCTTTTATTTCAAAAAGGCAGGGAAAATTAGGTTTCACATGATATGAAGATTATTTGTATTTTGTTGAAAAACAGTCTTCTAGTTTCAATTTCCATCCATATTGGGTAGATATAGAAGAATAGAAATAGAAATAGAAATAGAAGAATCACATTTCTCTGTTAGCCAAATTCATGACAACTGCACTTACCCCTCCTTCTGAACCTTTGAGCCACTAAGTTCTCGCTGTATTTTCTTTGCATGAACATAAGTGCCTGGGGGGAAAAAATGAATATGCTTTTTTCTCTTTCTGTTGCATTTTTTGAAATTGTAAGCATTTAAAAGTCTTTTTTTAAAGTCTGTTTTAATGTGCAACTCATACCATATTCTCCATTGAAAGTGATATCTATTTTCTCCCACTGTTTTCCTTGAGTTGAAGGTGGAGATCTGTTCACAAGAGCTGCTGTGAAATATTCAGGTGATTTAAATGGTGGCCAGTAGGATTGCTTTCTGTCCTCAGTCAACCAGTTTTTTGCTACCACCACCACTTCCCCCGAGATCAAGGTAACTACTGCATACATGGTTTGCCTAAAGACATGAGACAACACAGACAGGTCAGAGTAATGCACTAAAATGAAGTCTTTTGTGGCCAAAAAACAAGCATTGTAGGTTGCCTATGGAAGCCTGCTCTATGAGCCAAAAAAGGGTGGTCTGGTATCTGTTAATAATGAAAAAATTCTCACAAATGAAAACTTATGAAACTATTTTTTATAATTGTGAATTTATGTATTTAAAACCTTTGCTTAATATATTGTGAATGTGACTTAATATCTGGTATTAATGACTATATTATTGTCATTTAAAAATTATTTGGCCTGGCTTTCCCAAAAGCTATGTCTAAAGGACATCATCCAATCCAAATATCTTTGGATTTTAAAGGGATATTCTAAAGCACCAAGAGTGAGTTGATTTAACTGTCTGCTAACTGCAATGTGCTTCTGAGGTTTAAAAGCCACAGTCAAACAGTGTCAAACAAGCTTGGGCAAAATTGAGAATTCAAGTTCAATGACGAAATGGTGGTTCATGGTCAATCAAACGTTTAACCTACACTATACACCTGACTCGGCACAAGAGGTGCTTATTAATTAGTTAATAAGCTGAATTAAGTCCAAAATAAAAAAAAAAGTCCCTCTAGTACAAATTGCTGGAAAATATAAAGGACAGGTTTTCTTTCCACAAAACAAAACTGTGTGTACAAAAATAACTCCATTAAATTCAAACCATAATAAATTGCCTCCTTATCTACTTACAAACACAACTGTGTTCTGGATTGAAAGTTTGTTTGCTTGCCCACCCTGAATGAATTCAGTCAGTGCTTGCTCTGAATTATTCTGCTCAATCCCTACTCCAAATAAATCCAGACTGTGCCCACTCTGAATTAATCCCACCAATTCCACCTCGGAGTGAACCCAATCAGTGCCCAGTCTGAGTTAATCCAATCAATGACTGCTCGGACTAATTCCACCGAATGCTCACCCTAAATGAATGCAGCCTATGCCCATTCCAGATTAATCCAACCAAAACCTGCATTATGAAATATCATGAAAATGTGGCTAAAAACAACGGCTTGTCTGTTTCTGTCTTGATGGCATCATTAAATCAATTAATTTACATTGCTATTTTAAGTAATCATTGTCAGTTTTGGCATCAAAATTATTTAAAGATATTTTCTGGTTCTTTTCTGACAGAAATGAAAGTCAAACTAAAGCCTTTAAATTAGGAAAACTGTTACAATTGATAATGCCACCCACATTACATCAGTAACCCTAGCCTTTTACCTGCTTGGATCATCTGCCTCTTGTTTTAAAGAGAGTACCATACAGTTTATACAGAAAACTTGTGCCATACAATCAAATTTTGGAAACATGCATTTCAAACTGCTGGAAACTTCAGTCTTCATACCTAACATACCTAACCATTCAACTTTGATTATCAACATTAAACTATAGACACGGTTAGCTAGATAGCTAGGTGCAAGTGTGTGCCTTTAGAGTACATTTAGCAACGGTTAGTTCAGTCAGCAACACAAACTCAAATAGATACCTCTGCGATAGACTGCTTTAAATTACTTCTGATTTAACAGCATAAATAGTGGCAAAATAATCTAGGGTATAACAAAGTTAAAACAAATCTATTTACGTAGTTAAAACATCAAGAAATAGCAGAAACAAACCAACCAAAACGTGCATGGCACTGAACTCATTACATTTCTCACCATGGTTTATCACACTGAATAGATCAATGGATGTCACAAAGACTTTATATTGCTATCAAATTACAACACAAGTGCTCAATACTACCGAGTTTACTAACAAGTCTGAGACCGAATCTGAGTACTACAGCCCTAGCAAATAGCATATTTAGGACATAAATGTGCAACTTCTCTACATTCTTATTCATAAACAGTACCACTGCTGTAATGTTTTCCCCACTATGATGACTTCTGCTGTGTCGGATACAGAAGTATGAAATGAGTCTATTGTCAGCAATGTCACAATACAATATGTCTTTCAATACAAACGTCACAAAATTATATGATACAATTACAAAACACACCAGATATACAACAGACATCAGAATTTCAACAACTATCAAAAAGCTCAGGCTCCATGGCCAAAGGCATCAGAATAAGCTTTAGAATCAGCCTAAGACACAGCCTCAGCTCTAGACCTCAAGCCTTGAGACACAGGCTCTTAGACTCCAGATTTTCACCCATGTGATTCAGTCTCCGAGACAATTTTTTTTCTTATTAATTGTCTTTGTTTATGTATGTGAATGTACTTTTAATGTACTTTTTTATTTATATTTTTCAGTACCAAGTCAAAAGATATGTGCGTATGTGTGTGTAAATTTGAAGTGAACATACGTACTGGAAGTGTATTAAATAAAAAGTAGTACAAGCAATGAGGAATGGGCTTGAATTGGACCACAACACAAAAAGCTAATTACTTCTTACAATAGACTTCAAAGCTATAATTGCCAACAATTTCTTTTCAAAAAATTACAGCCATTATTCATTTGTGGTGTCTGTTTCCTATTCCACAGTACTCCAATATTTCAGTACCTGTTTCCTATTACTGTATATTTACAGAAAACAATGAAGCTCATAATGTCAAACATTAATTATCTTGTCTTTGCACTCCTTTTGTTTAAATACAGGTGCAAACGGATTTACAAATTACTGGTTTCTGTTTTTATTTGCATTTCACATATTTCACAGTTTATCTGCATTTGTCCAAACTATTTAAAACTTTTCTTTTTTTACTTCTACTGTTAGAGTTTTTGTATATTTAACACCCTGCTTTGTTTGCTCTTCTTCTGATGTGGTTCTGGCGTACACGGAAGCGAATTAATTTCATTCTTTAAAAAATAAGTCCAAGTTTTATCCTCTGTTTGTGGTGTCCTTACCTATGGTGAAAAGTAGGCCTCAGCACTGACTCATCCTCATGGAATTTATCCTCCGCATCCCTCATAGTCACATCTTCATAGTCACTCTCTTGGCAAGTTTCATCAGATTTGTCCTGCTCAGACCAGTTTTCTACCCCATCCTCCTCTCCACTAGTGAAATATGTTTCGTCATCCGATTCAAACTCAGCGTCCCAATTTTCAAACTCATATTCTCTTACAGTCAGAAACCCACTTTTTCTTGAAAGTACCACAATGTCACTCATCCCAAGGTCATTTGACAGGTCCATCAGTGTGGCCTCTACCTTGTCTTCATCTTCCAGCTGAACACAGATAATTATGCTTTGTCTGAAGACAAGAATTCTTAGTTGCTCTAAATGCCCAATGAGATTTGAGAAAATGCTCTTCAAAATGAGAGTCAAGAGAACTGGAGTTAGGGGACAGCCTTGGCACAGCTGTTTGTATGACTCTGGAGAACATTCAGTATCCTCGGAATGTCTTAGGAGGTTTTCCAACATTATTAAGTCTTGACACCATGCAGAATTCAACTGTTTTTGTTCCTCTAAAGCATTCTGGATGTAGGACCACTTTACCCTGGGGCATAATGTTTTGAACGTTACCCAGAAAGAGGGTAAACCATTTGATTTCTGCCTCTTGGGCTGAGACTCCAAGTGGTCACCTATGCGTCGTGCTAGAATGCTTGCAATAATGAGATAGTCAACATTGAAGAAGTGCTGACCAACGTGAGGCTCTTGGACTGACTCACAGAAGTGAGTTTTTTGGAAGTCAAATGACCCACTGAGCATCCTGCTGTACAGAACTTTTAAGTATGGAATTAGATCTTGAGCCAATTCCTTGTAGAAGGTAACAGATATACCATCTGGTCTTGGGGTGTCAGACACTTGCAGAGACTCAATGGCTGTAACGATGTCAATCTCGGTAATCACATGGGGGTTGTCTTCATTACAAGACAAATCAGCTTGCACAATCCCAAATTCCTTTTTATGATGCAGCAGCTGACTGATGTATTGTATCTCTTGATCTTTCTTGCAAGGGATCACAGAAACATTGTTAACCTCCAAAATCAGGGGCTGATGATCTGGCCTCGGTAAGTGGCTTATTTCACAATGTTTAATGCGCCACATGCATTCCTCCGGGATGAAGAAATAATCCAGCCTTGACATGATGTTGTTTTTGTTGAATGTGTAATTCCGTGTCACTGGATTCATTCTTCTCCAGACGTCTAACAGTTGAAGAGATTTCATGAATCTTTCTACACAACAGCGGAGTTTATTGTGGGATGTGTTGTTTGTCACCTTACTGGGACTGAACTTAGTTTCTTTGTCAATGAAAGGATTCAGCACAGTGTTGAAATCTCCTCCGATTACAAGCATTCCTGAAGCCATGCGCTGCAGATACTTGGACAACTGATCAAGAGTTTTCATATCTGTATGATGGTTATACACACTAACAAGCGTGTAAGGTTGACCTTCTAATTTACATTTCAGTACAAGATAAGCTCCATTAATGTCTTTTTCATGACTGAAGATTTCAAAATCTAGCGTGTTCCTTACTAGTATAGCTGAGCCCTTTTGAGATGAAGTGTACTGAGTGAAATAAATCTTCCATTTATCTTCAATGTCCAAACTGTGTTCATTTCCTGCACCAATGTGAGTCTCTTGTAGGAAAACAACATCAGCATTATACAGCTCTTGAAATTTCTGAAACTTCTTTTGCTTCAGTCCATTGATGTTCCAAGTCACAAATTTAATTGTCTTTGCTGTGGCCATTGAAGGAATTGATTACTATTGCTATTTTGGCCCTGTCAAAACAAAGAATGAGGAATTTGCAGACTACATAATCCAATAGAAGTCCTCAGCCTAAATTATTTGCAAGCCTAACCATGACCTGAAAAAGAAGCAAGAAAACAGGCCTTAGATTTACAAAAATGAAAGAAGGAAACAAAAAAAAATTGCCTTATGTTTGCAAAGCCATGCTGAACATGATAGAGATGGAGCATGTAGGGTACTTTGATGTTCATGGAATGCTAGGGTAAGATTTCACACTACCCCTTGTCCTTGGATGTATTTGTGTGCATCCAATAGTTGGAGCAGCAGTGTTCGCGGGTTGGTTTTGATAGCTTACATATAATGTTGAGTATAACTTGTTGCTAAGAACATAAAGTTTGAAGTTCTATTTTAACTTACGTGCCAGGAGTATTTTAGTATTTGATGGAGTTTTCCTGGTCAAAAATACAACTGCAGTGCGACCAATACAAATTGAGGCAGGATGGTGTAACATCCTGTCTTTCCCTGTCCTTCTGTTTCTGTGTTTCCGTCTTTGTTTCTCCCTTTGTGTTCATTCCCTAATGTGTCTTGCCATGTGCATTTTTTGTTGTTTTGGTCTGTGTCTCCTCCCTGGTCCAGCCCCCTAGTCATCTGTTTCACCTGTCTGTAGTCTAGCCCTGCCCTCTCATCAGCCCAGGTATTTTTAATGTGTTCTTTGTCTATTCATTCCCCGTGGTATGGTCTGTTCCTAGCTTGGCATTGTTTGTAGTGTGTTTTGCTGATTCTTAGTTTAAGTTGTCCTTCCTATGTATTTTATTCTCTGTTCTGAGCTTTTGATGGTACTTTTTATTTCTTTAGTGCTTTCTTTGCTGCCTTCTCCATGGACAACAATAAAACTGCTAGCTCACATTTTCATCCTGCCTTCTCATCTCCTTCGGTTTCCAATACGTTACAGAATGCCAAGCCTTTCAAGGATGCAGCAAGCCATGTTTCAGCTCAGGAGGAAGAACTGAAGTATCTGGAAAACGTACTCGCCTATCATGCAGGGAAACCTCTTTTGTTGCTGTCTGCAGTTGCAATTCCATGTGAGTACAATGGGGAAGAAGCCTGCGATAGTTTCATCATGCAGTCCACTATTTATTTTCAGCACTTAGCTTTCCCTACCCCTCCAGGCTGTATAAAGGTGCTTTTTATAAGGCCTCTTTTAAAAGGAAAAGCTTTGCAGTGGGCAGACATCATTTTAGATAAGAGGGCAAAAGAGGCACTTTGGTCTGTGACTCTTCCTGTGGCCTCCGTGGAAGACGCAGCAGGCGTCTGCTGCCGGTGACGTTGCAGTAGGCCCGTCTGCCACCAGGGATGTCGTCTCCTGCCCTGCCCATGGCCTCCAGTTCCTGCTCTATGCTGGGCCCCCGTTCCAGTTCTCCAGGCTACTCTAGTTCTGGTTTGTTCTGACTCTCAGCATCCCATTCCAGCGGTGGCCTCCCAGAGTACCACTCCATCGCCGACCCCCCCGCAGCCCACTCCAGTGCCAGCCTCCCAGCATCCTGCTCCAGCACCAGCCTCCCAGCATCCCCCTCCAGCGCCAGCCTCCCAGCGCACTTCAGTATTGGCTCCACGCCATGTTCCACACTCTGTTCCAGTGCCAGACGCCCAACCTTTCCTATTCCCTGCTCAGCTGCCTTTCCAGTTTCCCAGTCAGCCAGCCACTCGCCCTTCCAGTTCTCTGCTCAGAGAGATGTCCGGAATTCTATGTTTTCCCCTGTGTCTGTCCAGTCTCCAGACCCTAGTTTTGTTTTTGTCACTGTCACTGTGTTCATATCTCAACCAGTCACCATCAGTGTACCTGTTCCTGTCTCTGTTGGTCTTTTGTACCTGTTCCTTACAATGTCTCTGTCCCTGTCCCAGTAATAGTGTCTGTCCCTGTCTGTCTACTGTCCTGTTTCCTTGTCCAGCCTTCTGTCCACTCCCCTGTCTAGTTTCCGGTCTGTTCCCCTTTCAGTTCCTTGTCTAGTTATTAGTCATGTTTCCAGCCTCTCTTTTGAGCCAGTTCCCATGGTGTATTCTGTTCTGCGCCTAGGAAGCTGCACATTAGACTTCTGTAACATCCTGTCTTTCCCTTTCCTTCTCTTTTTCTGTTTCTGTCTCTGTTTCTGCCTTTGTTTTTTCCCTCATGTGTCTTGCCATGAGCTTTTTTTGTTGTTTTGGTCTGTGTCTCCTCCCTGGTCCTGCCCCTAGTCATCTAATCCATCTGTCTGTAGTCTGTAGCCCTGCTCTCTTGCTAATACAAGGTGTTTCTCATGTGTTCTTAGTCTATTTATTCCCCTTGGTATGGTCTGTTCCTTACACATGTTTGTAGTATGTTTGTAGTGCGTTTTTCTTATTCTTAGTTCGAGTTGTTTATTCCTATGTATTTTGTTCTCTTTTCTGTGCTTTTGTTGGTTCTTTTTATTTCTTTATTACTTTCCTCATTTTGCTTTTCTTTTATTTGTCTTTTTTTTTTTACTTTTCTGCCTTCCTCACAGAAACTGCTAGCTTGCACTTGCATCCTGTCTTCTTGTCTCTTTCAGCTTCCAACATGTTACAGATGGACTGAGGTCTTAAGCAATGAGAGGTAGTGTATTATCCCAGATACCATCAAGAGCTAAAGGTTGGTAGAATGGGACGCCAATAAATATTTAACTATTATTATGACTTGCTCAGCTCTGTAGTCTAAGATCTACATAAATTGAGAGGACTTCCATTATCTTATTTTTAAAGATTTCATATGCAGACCTCTCTGAAGGCTTTGGAATATCAAAGCCAATTCTTTTGCTTTTGCTACATGCTGAAGACATTTGAGTTTAAGATCAAAACATGAACATGAGATGGTAGATCAGAATTTTAGCTTTTATTTTTCTGATAACTTGGCACATCTTGTTCTAAGGTGTTTCTCATGTGTTCTAAGTCTATTTATTCCCCTTGGTATGGTCTGTTCCTCACACATGTTTGTAGTATGTTTGTAGCGCGTTTTTCTTATTCTTAGTTTGAGTCTTTTATTCCTATGTATTTTGGGTAACACTTTCTATGAATGTCACCTTTGTAAGCATCTATAAACACATTCATAACATGTTATAATGCATTCATAAGGCATTATGAACATGGCAATAAATATTTATAAAAATGCATTACACGTTATAGCTATGCTTATTATGCATTATGAATTGTCAACATAATACATTATAAGTACTGATCATAACAAATTATAGGAGCTCATAAGTTGTATTTGTCCGCTCTAAGTAAAGTGAAGCATACTGTACTAAAACGTCCTTCAGTGTAAAGAGTGAGGGTTCAAGCTGAAGTATTTAATGAAGAATTTACTGAAACACTGAAACATACACAATAAAGCTCATTACAGGCTTCAAATGTCAGAGTTTAAACTAGTGCTGCCATCAGTGCTTTACACAATGAGGGAAAGTCAATGTACACCACCGTTAGCCTGGTTAGCCTAATTTGTCTTTACTTTGCACTCTCCAAGCTGGGACTGACTTCTGTGGCACTGACAGTATAATATGTTATCAACACTGCTTATAATGCATTATATTAACAATTCATAATGTATGATAAACATGGCTATGAAGTGTAATCCAGCGTAATTCATTTTTATAAATGTTTATACTCCTGTTTATAATGCCGTATGAAGGCATTATAACAAGTTATAAATGTGTTTATAGATGCTTACAAACGTGACATTCATAGAAAGTGTTACCATATTTTGTTCTCTTTTCTGTGCTTTTGTTGGTTCTTTTTATTTCTTTATTACTTTCCTCATTTTGCTTTTCTTTTGTTTGTATTTTTTTGTATTGTTTTTTTATTTTTAGAGATTTCATATGCAGACCTCTCTGAAGGCTTTGGAATGTCAGGCTTTGGAATGTCAAAGCCAATTCTTTTGTTTTTGCTACATGCTGAAGACATTTGAGTTTAAGATCAAAACATGAACACGAGACGATAGATCAGAATTTTAGCTTTTATTTTCTGATAACTTGGCACATCTAGTT